GTGGACCTCCAGCACGGTCTCTAATCTGTGTTTTGCTCCGTCCGTCTTTCCTTCAACATGGACCAGTTTCCTAGTCCCTGTTGATGAAAACTCTCACCCCAGCATGATGCTGCCACCACCGTGCTTCTCTGATGAGATGATGTGAGGTGGTAGATTAGTCTAAGATGGTGTGCTCTTTGGTTTCACCTGACCACGGGAACTTCTTCCACGTGTTTATGGGAAGAAGTTCCAAAAGTCGTGCGTTTTATTCTTAAAGTATTATTTTTTTATCTACAATTGCTCCGTGAAGCCCAGCTCTAACTTCATTATTCTGGAGTATTTGTGGATTTTTGTAGCCCCATCTCTTCCAATTCTACCTCAAATCGTTTAAGATCCAGTTTGTACAACAACAAAAGGGAATAGTTACCATTTTATTTAAAATAACGTAAAAGAAGAAGACTCTAGAAGTTGGTCGCAGTTTCATGAGAAGAGGCACCTTTAACCTTCACCGTTTGGTGTTTGACATCTTCACGTGCAGATCGCTCCTCTGACTCTCAAATGTGATTTAATACCAGCTGTTTGTTTAGTTTTCAAGTAAACAAACAACAAAAACATTTTATTTCAGACCTTGGAGGCCGGACAGTTCACCAGAGTTTAGACCAGAGTTCTCTTGTGTGTTCTGCCAGCTCTGAGTCTGTGTATGTATGTATATATATATATATATATATATATATTATATATATGAAAGAGTTTCCATTTTTGTGTTGAACGGTTGATTAACTGTGGTGTCCATTTTGAATTAAGTTGAGTTCTGAAATTATGAAACTATAACGGTACAAGTGGTTCATGTGATATTTTGCTAACAGACAAATATTCAAACACATCACCGCTAATCTTTTAAGATAGTGGGCAATTTAAATGAAAGATAAAACAAATCGAGGAGAACTTTGGATACCAGTTTCTGATCTGCATCTTTTCAAAACAATTAAAAGTTTAAATTAAAAATGTTTCATCGTTGGAGAGCGAAGTTGTGTAAAAGTTTCCGATCAGTGTGACTAGATGTGAACTCTTTGATCCTCTTCTGATTAGCTCTCAGTTAAACTGTTTATTACCACTTGAAAATGTCTGAATTATCCCTTTAAATCAGGGGTCTGCAACCTTTATGATCAAAAGAGCTGTTTTTACACCTTCATGCACTAAATTCAACGTGTCGCAACAACCTGCTACAACCGTTATCAACTGGTGGCCCATGGGCCACTTCAAGTTTGTTGGAGGAGACTTTTGTGACCAGTAGTGGTGACATCATAAAGCTAAAAATATCTAATGATTTTTGACATTTATTAATATTATTACTGGGAGAGTGGTGGCGCAGAGGTTAGAGAAGGTGGGCCTGTAAACCAATAAACTTCAGTTTTATGTTGGTTTTAGTCAAAGCTTGAAAGAGCCGCTGCGGAGGAACCAAAGAGCCGCATGTGGCTCTAGAGCCGTAGGTTGCAGACCCCTGCTTTAAAGTGTCTCTAAGTGTCGGGAGCGGTTCGGCCCGGTCCTCCGTCCCTGAGGGGTATCGGTCGGTACGGTTCTCTGACATCATGTTGACTTATTTGTTTGGTTTCTGAGCCATCCATGTTTAGGTGGTGGAGCATATGGACACCCCCCCCCCCCCCCTACTCAAACACACACGCGCACGACCTGAACACACACACACTCGACCCGGCTCGCTGATCCAGAAGCATATGGTTCTTTGAGATAGAGTTGAGACAGACCGGGCTTTTCTGCTGGAGAGCACCGAGGGCCTCTGTTACTGTTAGAAGTGCTGCCAAATACCCCCCCCCCCCCCCCCCCACACACACACACACGTGTGCACACACATACATGTACACACAGACCCAACTCGCTTCAGTGACTCTGCGAAGCGGCGTGGGCGACTGATTCTACAGGAACTGAAGCGTCTGGAGTGAAATGAAGAAACCTGCAGCTCACTTTGAGTTCGTCACTGATTTAATTATTTATTTATTGTCCTGTTGTCTCATTTGGAAGATTACTCCACAATTTCTTTTATCGTCTCTGTTAAAAAGACGTTTTTACTTTCAGGCGTCGGACGCCTATAAGCATTACAGTAACGGGAGAAAAACGGAGGCTGTTCTCGTCGCAAATTAAAACGTCTTTTCAGTTTAATGCGTTTCCTGATGAAAGGCTTTATTTAAACTCCGCTCCAGCTTTTACCGTTATTCCACGCAGTAATATGCTTTCTCCCTTTGAGAGATAATACAAGATTTCTGGCGAGTTGTTTGAATTAATTATGAGAATTAATTACATTTTACGTTTGTGAATATAAGCCTGACTTTAGTGTGATACGCAGCCTTTTCTGTGGGGCAGGTTTAATTTTGCTGCAACAGTATTTATAATATCACCTCCAGTGTTTGAATTAGGCTGTTATTTACTCATTCTACCAAATGGGATTTTTAAAATTCATTTGTTTTTATGATTAGACACTTTTGCTTTTGTGATTTAGTTAGTATTATAGGAGTGATGCAAATATTCATGCAGGGAAATATTGTAAGCATAAAGGAGTAGTTTCACAAAGTTGCTGAGATGGGTTGTCCGATCCTTTTCCGTTTTGTGGACCTGCAGATTGATTTCAATCAGGAACCCTACAGAGATTTTGTGGAGGTACCAGAGTCCTTGTACAACCCAAGGCAAACTACACGTAATACAGCTTGTAACATACAAGTACAGGGGTGTACCTGGAGCACTTGCAGGGTAAATACTTGGGTTACTTACTGGGTACACACCTGGGGTAATTACTGGGTACACACCTGGGGTACTTGCCTGCTACGTAGCTGGGGTACTTATGCAATAAATACCCAGGGTACTTACTTTATATGCATCGGTACTTTCCATGTATATATAAGCTACTTACTTCACGTATACATGCCGGCTACGTACCTGGGCGATACGTGATGGCTACATTTCTAGGGTAAACTTGCTAGCTATTTACTTAGGGTATACTTTCCGCCTATGTACCTGGGGTACACTTGCCAGCTATGTATTTGATGTGTTTACAGGGAACTTGTACATAGCTGAAGGGCTTATTGGATACTTCAACAGTACAACTGAGTAACTCGTGTGTATACCTGCCTGGCAAGCAGGGATGCACCAATAAATCGACCGGTCGATTTTTCGGCCCTGATTTTCTTAATTTTGGGAGATCGGCTGATACTTAAATCAGAAACCAATTTTGCTGATTTTTTTAAATTTTTAAATTTTTATTTTCTAATTTTTAACAACAATTGTCTGAACTTCATTTATATTTCAGAGTACTACCTCATGGCCAGTTAAAACAAGTTTGTATTTTTTATAGGATATTGTTCAAGGGTATGTTTTTCAACAAAATATTGGAAAGTTGAAGGTCCAGGCATCTACCTGGATTATTGAGCATGCATCAGGATATTGTGACATTTTAACACCTGACGGTGTCGCTTATGAAACAAAATCTGAATCGGCAGGTCGACTTTTTAGAGATCGTCCCAAAAACTGCAATCGGTTCACCCCTACTGGCAATACCACAGATACAGATTGAATGGATACATATATGGGGTTCATACCAGAGGCACTCACTGAGTATGTGTTTGAGGTACTTTTTGGGTCTGTACTTGGGGCATGTACCAGGTAAAATTCTAGGGGTTTTGTCTCGTATGTACCCAATAAATACTCTGCAAGTACTCTGTAAGTACCAGGTATTTACAGGTTTTATATCCAGCAAGTCCCCCAAATAAGTTTTTAGTGTCTACCCTGCATGCGCCTGCTAAGTACCAGACTGTACTGTGTATTTGTACCACCAAAGTTAGCTGTTACTCAGCACAATGTCAAGCTTGTTTCCTGTGCCGTTTGGACTCCACCAGGACCGCATCGCCTCAGATCTTGTGTTCATAGACAAGTTCTGTAATGGAGGGTCTTATCTCTACTTTATGCAGATGATGTGGTTCTGTGAGTGTCTTTAAGCCATGACATTAGACGTGCACTGAAGTGTTTTCCAGCTGAGTCAGATTTTCAAAGTCTGAGTCTTATCAGGTAAATGTTGGAGGGCTCCCTCTGGGTTGGAGTTTTGTCTCAATCTGACAAGTTTCAGTATTTATCGGTCCTGTTTATGGCTGATAGGAGAGTGAATCGACAACTTGGGTGTTGCACTTGTTGTGGTGAAGGAGTTGTTCAGTTGAAAAGCAAAACTTTTGACTCATATTTTGTCAAGAAGTACAACTGTAACCTAAAGGAGTCCTCTGAGGTGTCCAGGCCTCCTAGTCTGCTCTTCTTGATTTTTTTAACACAACTTATTGGGAAAATACCCACAACTCATTGCAGAGATCACAAACCTCTTCAGAACTGGAAAAGCTCTGAGAGAAGTTGAGTTTCCTCGTTGTTAATTTGGATAAATAATGAATGATGGATTGTAAACAGTTGGAGATTGTAGAGACGACAGAAAACGAATAGCTTTAAAAGCTTAAAGCTTTCTCGTAATAAAAGCTGCGTTTTATGCATCAGTAAAAGAAGAATACAGTAAATTTTACTGATGATTGCTTTGTGTAAAACTGTCAGTGACTTAAACTATGGTTCTGCTTGTAGACTGAAGTTTTAGTTTAAAAAGGCCACAGTTGTCAGTCCTCACATTCCCACGGTCACAGCAACATTTTATTGGGAGGGTTATGGGCAGCGTCATGTGAAAACGTCAGCGAGTATTTAAAAATCCTGGAGATAGCAGAAGCAGATAAACTAAACCTGTTAATGTTCCTGCAGCAGAACAAAAATCCGATAGTCTCTTGGTGTGATCAGTAACAACCACTTCACCTGGGTTTGACCTGTTAGCAACAAATAAATAAAAAACCTCCTCAAGCCGCTCATCCATTTCTCCTCGTTCAGCTGTGCTGTGAGATACCAGAAGACTAATGGCTCCTGCTTTAAATCCCATAATCACCCGACTGTTGTTGCTTTTCTCCTCCTAACGAGTCATTTCTGGTTTCTTTTAGGAGAGTCGGGTGATTGATGTCATCGGAGACCAACAGAACTTGAACTTTGAGGTAAGAATGCTTTTATTTAAAACCCTGTCAACAAAACCAACAATATTACTTCTTTAAAAGTTTCAGTTTTTTAAAAGACTTTGTTCTTCGGGTTTACAAGGAAACCATTTTCCGCATAGTTTGGCTGCTTATTTGTGTTTTTTGGTAGATGATGGTGAGTTCAGGGGTTAATCTGAGGCTCCGGGCTGTTTTTAGGACAAACACTTCTTGCATAAATCAGACAGTTCCTGACATAAACTGTTTTTATTCTAATAAGGTAACTTAAAAAAAAACACATGTTCATTTTGTTTTTGCTAAATTAATACTATGAAGTCTTTATTCATATCCTGATTTTTCCTACCTTTTTGGAAATAACGGCAGTATTTTCAGACTCCGAAGTTCATGGATGGGCCTTTTGTCAACCTTAAGTGGAAAAGTGATCACAGTAAATCCTTTAATTACACGGGGATACTCATTAGAGTCATTCAGAGCTCAGCGTGTCCCAGCCTGAGCTGATCTCTTCATTTTCTCATCGCTTGTTTGGATGTCTCTTCCTTTCTTATGTGAGGGCTGATCATTTCAGTTTGCTTGTTTTCCTTCGGAAAGATTTTGTTCAAACTCCCAAACCTTGGCAGAGAAATGGAGCATGAACAAAGGTGAATCCCGGCAGTTTGATTTTTCTTTTCCAGAGGAAAATGCTTTATATGAATAGAAACTGTGCAGCATTTGTCAAAGAGTCTGGTTATCCTTCAAAGTATCTTTGTGAGTTTGTTGTGATGTTGTCATTCCTGTTAAAAGGGGGATGTTTTCTCCTAAAACCAGCAATGTAGGGGTGTCAGTTGTTCAGACTGGACCGCCGGCTATACAACTCATCAGGGTGACAAACACCTATCCACTGTTTCCCTAAAAAAAACAACTCAGAGGTTCAAAAGAACAGCAGAAGAGAAAGCTATGAGCCGTGTATATTACCGCTGCAGACTGAATAGTTAGAATGAAATACAATTAGTTGGCAAATGATATCATAAATATTCAGTTTCAGTCAAGGGTGATGTACTGAGTTGTTGCAACTTCTGAGGAATTTAGTTGATGAGTCATACGATGAAGATCTGGGAAAGAGTTGTGAAATTTACTTAGACAAGGGGTGACTATCTGTGAGCAGCAGTGTGGTTTCATGCCAAGAAAGAGCACCACAGACGCCATCTTTGCTTTGAGGATGCTGATGGAGAAAAACGGAAATGGTCGGAAAGAACTCCGTTGTGTCTTTGTGGATTTAGAAAAAGCAAATGACAGGGTGCCGAGGGAGGAGGTGTGGTGTTGCATGTGGAGATCTGGAGTGGCAGAGAAGTATGTTAGACTGATACAGGACATGTATGAGGACACCAGGACATGTTAGACTGGTACAGGA